TATAACAATGGTTGTTTTTTTCTTTTAAAAACATAACTATTTATAATGCTCCCTAAATACTAAATAACAGTAAACCTTTTTTGATTTATGGTATTTTCTTATTTTGATGTTTTGAGATCTTTTGTGTTTAGAACAATATATACTAACTTTTAAAGTATCAAATTGAATTTTTGTTCAATAAAAAATCTTTCAAATGCGACTGTAGCTTTTTTTCCCCCAAAACTTTGTCTTCAAAATAAGGGTGCGTCTTATATTCCAAAAAATACGGTATTTAAGCGATTTGTAGCTTAGATAGAAAGACATTTGAATTTCATACTAGTTTTATGAAATATTTTCTGTTCTTAGTTGTATATTTGAAATTAAAATTATTTTTTTACATACTATTACCATTGTTTCAATAAATTAACTAGTTTTAAGTTACATTGAGAGCCCTAGAACAAAACAAGAGCATGGCTTAAGTACTAAATTTTTTGTTTTTTATATATATTTTTTATTCATTGTTATAAAAGAAACTGAAATGTAAAAATTAGAAACTTATTAGGTTAAATAAGAAAACTTAAATGAAAGAAATATAAATAAACAAAGTACTCATGCTAGCACATGCTAATCACAAGGTATGACAGTGAAATTTGACGAGCATGTTGATAACTTGTTTATTTACACAAAAGCTATCCTACTGTGATAATAGCTTTGGTCTTACTCGGACAGAGCCTAAAGTACAGCTGTAAAACAAAAAATAGATGAGCACAATTTTTAAAAGTATTAGCTTTGGCTTTATGAATAAGTAGTGTGTAATTGTTTATTACAATGTGCAGTCATTTGAGAGAGAAAGAAAGAGTAATTTAGATATATTTCCCATTTCACCATACATTACTGATTTCATTGCAATTAGTGTTAGAGTAGAAAACATAACAAGTGAAATATAATGTTTAACTGAAAACAAACTTTTGATATTAATTTAGGAGATTCTAGAGGTTATTGAAATAAAATCTGAAAACTACAATATGGAAAAAAAAAGGTGTTTTTATTCTTAACATGAAAATCACCAGGCATTTGGACTGACCCTGTAAATACTACTAATTCACAAACAAATCGTTAATAAAAATAATTAATTAAATATCCTGTTTCTTTAAGTAAACAACCATTGCACTTGCTTACCCTCCAAGTGGTGGGGGTCTGTATCCTAAAGTTTAAAATTTCATCTGCTACGATGGTATATACCTTTCTAATACAATTTTCTTCTTGTTTTTTGAGTATCCTATCACCCTTATCTAATTTTGAGATGAATAAATCATTTCATTCTTCTTTTTTAAAGTTACTTCTTTCTATTTTTAAAGTGAAAAACTCTCCAAAGAAATACCTGAGTAATAATAACATCAAAATTACCACAATTCTGTGAAAATAGTTTCTCTTCTAAGTTTCTTTGTAACTTTTCAAAACTAATAATGCTATAGTCCAATTATTTTAGGGTTGACAAGCCTCAATGATTTCCATGTTATAAGTTCCACTGAAGACTCAGGAATGCTCAGAATAAAAGACACACAAGTAAGATTATTATAAAAATTAATTTTAGCTTGTTTGACCACTTTAAGAGAATTCCATGAAGAATATGATTCTAGCTGAATATTTTGACTTTTTACTTTCTGAAAAAAGAAAAGGAATACAAGAATATACTATTGAAAAAAGTTTTAAAAAATCCTTTTATCATTTAACAGCTTGTAAAGATTGAAAATAAATTATGATTCTAGATCAATATTTTGACTTCTTTACTTTCTGAGAGAAAGAAAAAGAATAAACTATTGAAAAATGTAAAAAAACAACCTTTTATCATTTAACAGCTTGTAAACATTGAAGTAGCCAGGATAACATATACATTTGAAGGTCCACAAGTTGAAAAAGTATGTTGTTTGAAAGACGATGTAATAACTCAGAAGATTTAGAATACTTCTTGTCCATTTTCCCAGCATTTTAATATTAATGCTTATTTTATTCATATCTCGACAATGGTATGTCACAAACTATAAATCCTACGACTAATTGTGTGGATTCAGAACATTCAAGAGAAGACTTCTAATTATAATAGCTAGAAATCTGTGGAAAAAATTCTTTTGCTGAAGATGTAAATATTTATGGAAAAAAAAAAGGTGAACTAGATGTTTCTTCCCCAAAGTATTCTAATAACATATTTATGAGGTTTTGTGTCTTTTCTAATTCACCATATAGTAACCTAAGTTAATTTAGGTGAGTGAACAATAATGTAGCATTGCACCTAATATATTATTTGATATTACAAAGCAGACCAACTATTTAATGAGTTTATAAGTATGTTACATATTTCTTTTCTTTTTTGACAAATGTAAAACTAAAAATACCATCTGCAATGTAGAAGTCTAGGACATTCCTTGAT